CCTATGTAATTGCCCCTGAGCTTTGCTCCCAAATGAAATATTCTGTCCTCCTACCCATTACCCGCAGTGTGGGCTCAGCACAGGGTTCCCGCAGCCCCTGGTGCTTTAGTAATAGATGGGCCATCTGGAGTCTGTGTTGTGTCATCTTCCCACAAACCTGCAAACAGGTACAGTGAAAGGACCAAACACCACTGGAAGACTGGAGCCCAGCCATCCACCAAGATCACAGGAGCACACATCCTTCTTTGGTCAATGGCTCTGGCCTCCCCAAATGGGTCCCCACAAAGGCACACCCATCCTTGCTGGACTCCCAGTAATGGGCTAAGCACTTGACACGCAAAGTCTCAGACCTCATCTTGCTCCAGGAGGCAGAGCCCCTTACCATCCCCAACTCACAGACAAATGGAGGTAGACAGATGTGTGAGTGACTTTCCCAAGGTCGCGGAGGTAATAGGGAACCCAAACCAAACCAAGCCCTGGAGAACTGTCACGTACATCCACCAGAGACGGCAGGCCCAGGGCAGCGCCCAGGATTTAAGCCGCCTTTCCTTTCATGTCCAGCAGGTGGCACCAAAGCACCTGCCCAACTAATCACCTGCCCAGCTGTGCACCTGACCTCAGGACGGTTTGTTCTGGTTGAAAAGGGAACCTGTATCTTCTAGAGAGCAAGGCCCTTTTCTTCTAGGATCCAAGCAAGGGTGCAGGTACGGAGAGAGATGCTGGGTGATCATGGTTCTCAAAAAAAAAAAAAAAACCTTGGGCAATGAGTCTATTTAGTCACAAAAGAGTTATTCAGACATACCACTGGATCTTACAATGAATCAGATAGTTTTCCTTTGGGGAAAGCCCAAAGTTCCCCAGGTTTTAAGTGACCTGGAGATTAACAGCCTCAGAGAAAGTCCAACAAGTTCAAACACAAAATACTATCCCGGATCACAAAGCTAGTGGGGAGCTGGGTTCTAACCCAGGCTCACCTGACCGCAAAATGCGCAGCCTTTCCAGCAGGCCATGGTCCTCCCTGGTGGAAATCGCAGGTATGTGATGGAGTGGGGTGAGGGGGACAGAGTCTCTCTCACAAGGAGTTTCCATTTTAACAGAGGAAGAGGGAGCGCAGACATCATTTGTGGTGGAAAGTTCTGCCACGATCAGCTCAGGAGGAAAAGCCATAGAATGTGCCTTCTTCACAGAGGGACCTGGACCTTTGTGCCTGCTGTGTCCCTGCACCTGGCACAGGGCCTGGCACACTTTAGTCCTCATGAATATGTGGCCGATGGATAAAAGAGGATGGAAGCCATGGTGAGGGGGCAGGCTTTCCTGGTGACACGAGATGGGGAGGAAGGTGAGGATGAGTTAGGAGTTTACAGACAGAAGATGGGGTGCAACATGTTCCAAGTGTAGGAAAGAATGACAGAATGTATTCTCTAAACTTCTGTTAGATCAAAACCCACAACTCACACCCCAGTATGCACACCTGGCACGCACAGCTGGAACCTCAATGTGTGTGACACCCTCTTGCTTCTTCTGGTCTCTTTCTTTTGTGCAGAACTTGCTGGTCACCTTCTGATGTGCTGTGGTCTGCATGCAAGGTCTGGAAAAGTGGAGACCAAAAGGCACAGCATCCCCCTTCTCAGGGGCTGAGTTCCCCTGAAACCACAATGGTGCCAGTTCCACCCCACACTGAACTCTAGATTACACTGGATTTCCTATAGATACGTGCCTATGATGGGGTTGGATAATGACACATGACAGAGCAACTATGACAGGATTCCACAATAAAAATGACTTAAAACTTAAAAAACATTCATTTCCAGAATTGACCTTTTAATATTTTCAGACCACAATCAACTGTGGGTAACTGGAACTTCAGAAAGCAAAATGAGGGGCATGAATGGGATTTAGAGTCAGACCCTAAAGATCTTAAGGTGGTGAGGTGACCAGGTTGGCCCCATTTCTGTCCTGCTCTTCCTTACCCTCTGTGAAGGCTGGGGCAGCAAATGCCTGTCCTGCTCTCTGGCCCTTTCCTCAGTGTCCCATCTCTCTGCTCATCCTCTTCAGTCACCTGTTGGTGCTCCTCTTCCCAGCGGGTTCTTTCAACTGTGATTGCTGAGCTCTGCCATGGGTGTCCCCACTCCACCTGCTCAGCCACCCAAGAGGCTCCACGCCTTGCCTGAGTGGCAGCCCATTCCTCCTGTGAGGTCTCCAATCACTCTCCACAGCCCAAGCCCTATGCTGTTTTTGAATTGTTCTCTTGGGCCAGGTTCAAGGTGTGATCCCAAACTGCAGTGCTGCTGGGAGAGGACAGGCCTTCAGCAGGTGGGGCTGTACAGGGGGAAGTTAGGTCACTGGGGATGTGGCCTTGACTGGGATCCTGGGAGCTGGTCTCTGCCTGGCTCTCTGTGTCCCAGCTGCCATGAGGGAGTAATTTCCTCCTCCATGCACTCCTTTGTGATGTGCTGAACTGCCCCAGGTCCACAGTGACCAGAGACCAAAAACTCTGTTGAGGAATCTCAGGTGTCCTGTCACAGCATGAAAAGCTACCAACACAGCCATCCTGGGGCTGACACTGTCTTTCCTATCATGGTGACGCCAGTCTGTCTTCTTCAGTAGATGACAGCAAAACTGAGAGCTGAGGAGCTGATCCTGAAGCCCACAAGCTCCAGACTCTACTCTGCCCTGATCTGCCTGCAGAAATCTGGGATTCACTTCATCCATCTGTCATTCACACTCCTCATACATAAAATCACGGTGACCAAGACCAGCACTGGCCCCCCAAAGCACTCTCAGAGGGTAACATGTGCCACTACACTGAAACGATGCTGTCCTGTGTGTGGGTGTGGTCATTGAATCAGTCTTCAGCCAACTACTTGGAGGCAGAGGCTGGCTTGTTTGATCCTCTTGCCTGTCTCTTGTGTTCTTCAATCTGGTATCCTCCTCCTGCTCTCTCACCTACAGAAGCCCTCAGAATTTACCCTGATCCACTGGTGTCCTCAGCACCCACCCCTATGTCCTGGTCCTGAATGTCTCCAACATTTGTAACATGAACAAGTCTGCTCCACAGTACTGATGATGTGAAACAGACTGTCACAGGCTGGGAATGACTGACTGCATGATGGATGACAGAGGAGTAGAGGAGGCCACCATAGCTATGGGACTCAGGGACTTGGAAGGCATCCTTTCAGGTTTAACCAGGGCCTTGGTACTCAGAGCTCATCTGGGCAGACTTCTGAGCCAGCATGCTCAACGACTAGGGCTGGGATCTGGGGCACCATCACACACCTGTCTGGTAACAGGGCTGGGGTGGCTTTCATGAACTCAGTGGATAGAGGATAGAGGATAGAGGTTCGGTGCAACCCAGGCATGTCTCTGGCTGCTCATAGCATGGCCCTGTCCAGGCTTCTTGGCAGTAGCCAGGGCTGCAGCACAAGTTTCCAGCCCACAGGACATGTGGCACTGCCCCTCTTCACCTGGACTCACCATCCTTGCAGTGATGCCTAGTTGGTTCCTGGTGGAAGCCCTTGCATGCAGGCCTGCTGAGAAGTGAGTGGGATGGACTTGGAGAAGCCCCTTGCCACAGAGGCTGTGGGATAAAGTTGTGGCTGTGCTGGACAAGTCCCACCTTTGCCCAGCCCCAGGTCAACCTGTACTGCCCCAGGAGGCTGTGCTCAGGAGGCTCCATGGTGACCGGTCTCCCTGCCCCTGGGGAGCCTCCTAGGACAGCAGAACGCCAGCCAGGTGGATCTTCCCCCTGCTCCTCCATCTTCCTCCCACTGGATCTCAGCTCCTGGCACCTGCACAGCCTTCCTGGCCTGCCTGCCCCTTACTCCCTCAGCCCCCCTGCCTTCCTTCACCCCAGCACAGCCCATTGTGCTTTCCCCAGACTTACACCCCACTCCCGGTTTTTGCCTCCTGCCCAGGCCCCAGATCCTCAGTCCCTGGGGGTTCAGGCCCAATGCTAAGATAAACTCTCCAGCACCCACTCCCCTCTCCTGTCATCCTGATTGTTACTTCCTTTGAGCCAGGGCTGTCTGCTCACACAGGCCTGTCTCCCTCCAAGATTGAGCACTTCCCCCTTTCTTGGTTCTAGTGGCCTTGGTGCCCACGATGGTGCCTGGACAGAGATCTGTGGGATATGAATGAACGCAGCAACGGGGGCTCCACGCGAGTCAAGAGCGTGCGTGAGTGTGTGTGTGTGTGTGTGTGTGTGTGTGTGTGTGTGGCACAGAAGGCAGTCTTGCAGGCTAGGCTGGCCTGGAGGTCAATCAAGATGGAAGGGGAAGAGAAGGGCCTGATTAGAGTTGAGGACAACTATGTGGCTACTTTGCGAAAACACTTTCACGTCCCTGACCCTCCGCTCCTTCAGCCTGGAAACTGAATCCAACATCCATCAGTTCCCTGAATGGGGGGTGTGTCAGAGGATGAGGTCAGCACCTCTGGATGCTAGGAGAATCCTGTCTCTTGAGCGAGCCCCAGGCGAGCTCGCCAGGTGTCGCTGCGAGCATGCTCTCATAGGACAGCACTGGCGCACCAGACTGGTTCTGCGCGGCCACAGCTTCAACCAAACTCCAGCCACCCTGGGGCAGCGCACCTAAGGGAGCTGTCCCGCCAGGCACCACTTGCACCCCAACCTCAAATAACCGCGGCTCAGAACGAGCATATGTAGCCCGCACCCACCACGCTGGCTCAGTCTCTCAGAAGAGGGCGCGCTCCACGAAACCAAGGGGAGACCCCGGTGCGTCCTTCGGTGCCCAGCTCCCCATGGTTCCCAGTGGTCGGGAACCGGCCGCTGGAGGGGCGCGGCGGTCTCCGCAGAGCTCGGTCCTTTCCACGCAACACAATCTTGCGCACCGGCTCACCCGAACCTGCCAGTTCTCGCCGCGTGGTGGTGGGGGCGAGCAGGACCCCACCCCTCAACCCTGCAGGGTTCCCGCCTCGCACCCGCGCCCGGGTGCCGGCCGGGAGCGCCGCGGGAGCGCGCCTGGGCGGGCGCTCAGAGGCGGCGGGGGAGGAGCAGAGTGAGGAAGGGAGGAGGGGCGGTGGCGTCCCGCACCCCGGGCCCGGCGCACTTGCACCGGCCGCTCTGCTCGCCCACGCCGCCCGCGCCTCCTCGCTCTGACGCCCGTGGCTCCTACGCGTCTCAGCCAGGTGAGCACGGGCGCGAGACAGGCGGCCCCAGGACCTCGCCCGAGCTCCGGGCGGGATATGCGAATTGCGCTGCCGGGGCTGGCCCCGGGGTTCAGCGACGCCCGACCCGCAGCCCCGGCCACCAGCGGGGACTATGACCCGGAAGGCGCGATGCTGCCTGGGCCACCTCTTCCTCAGCCTGGGCATGGTTTACCTCCGGATCGGGTAAGCTCACGCGGGTTCAGCGAAGTTGGTCAGGCTGGGAGGGAGAATCGCAGCCCGCGGCCACCAACTTCGGAGCCCGATGAGGGACCGACCGGTGTGCGAGGCGCGCGGGAAGGGAGGCGCACAGAAGCCTTGGGAGCAATGCCGATGGCGCGCGCGGCGGACAGACGCGAATAGGGGATCCACTATTAACAACGCTCCCAGAAACCAGATTAGGGATGCCCTATCACGGGACTCTAGAGAGGATCGGCTGGTGCGAGGGCCGCACTTCCCGGGACCCTACAAGCTGTGGGGGCAGTAGGTCCCGCGGAGTCCCTGCGCTGGGACCGCAGCCGCTAGCTGTGTTCCCAGGGCCCTGGTAACTGGGCGCTACCTCTCCTAGCGACGGGACAGTGCCCCGGCGGCAGGTGGGCAGCCGCGCAGATAGGAGACAGGTGTCCAGAGGCGGGGATGGTCTCTCGGAAAGCAAATGGCACCTCTGCGTAGAAGCTACACAAAGTCCAGGGACCCTTGCACTCCAGAGCCCTTTCCAAACTAAGGGTCCAGCCCCTGTCATCCCCAGCCAACACACACAGACGGAAAGTCTAGTGACACCCAGGGAGAGAAACTCGCAGACCCTGAGGTCACCGCGCCCAGAACTAGGCAGCCTTAGGCTGCACCCCGCCTACCCTCGGGTGGCCTGAGCACTCTAGCTGGAGCTGTGAGGTTGGCTTGGGAGGCATCATGCGCGCGTGTGCACGACCAGCCTCCCTTTGTGCTCAAGAGCTCTATGCTATGCATAGAAAGGTGGGGCGGCGGGGCTTTAGCAAGAATAGAGGTGCTGGCGCCAAGGGCCACCTTGGCAGTTTCAAGACCTGCCCCGCTGGCCCCCCGCAGTGAACCTGCCGCTACTGCTTAGGGGAAGGAGGGGCCTCAGGGGCTGCCAGAGAGTGTGCTTGACAGATCCTTTGTGTTTTGTCACTGCCACCCCTGTCCGCACTTCCCCTCCTTAAGGTCTTGGGAGCGTGGATTTCGGGAGTGGAGGCGCCCTGGCGACTAGCAGGTGCGCAGAAGGGGCCAGGCAGCCACCAGTTGGCCAATAGAGAGGCTGCGGGGGCGCGCTGCCTGCTGCCGGCCTGCTTGCCCGCCGATGAGTTTAAGTGTTATTGATTTGCCCGCGTCTGCGTGACTTTTCTTTTTCCCTGCTTTAATCTTGATCTTGGCCCGCACCTTGCCACCTGGAGCTCACCCAGCATCCAGGAAGCAGGTTGACCCATTGGCTCTGGCTGCAGGGTGCATCAGCTCCTTTTTAATTAGGAATGGGGTGGAGACATTGGGGACGGGAGAGAGAAAGGAAAAACAGCAGAAAATAGCCTCCCCTGGCTGCCCTACCATCCTTTCAGACAGCCCACATGCCTGACCCCGCTCCCCAACCCTGGCCTCTAGGCCTGCAGAGGCCCAGCCCTCTGGAAGGCCAAGAGAGGGGGGGGGGGACGAGGGAGGGAAAGAGGTCAGGGTTAAGTAAGAGAGCTGCATTATGACTCTGGGCCCCATCTGCTGCTTACCAGGCCTTGGGTTGTCCATCTGTAAAGTGGGCATAAGGCTTACGTCCCAAGTCCCTGAGATGCCTTCCGGTCCCCATGCAGGACCACTTACTCCCTGCTCCCAGTCAGGTTATTCTACTGGATAGTTCCCCTGCTACCTCAGATCCACGAGCCTTAGTACTCACAGTACAGAGACTGGGTGCTCACTGGGCACCTGGCACCTCCTAAACATTTTCCATGTTCTTCCACATTTAATTTTCACAGGAGTCCCAGAAGGTGAGGGCCAGTTATCTACCTCTTCAATTTAGGATGGAAAATCTGAAGCACAGAAAGGGAAATGTACCTTGCCTGAGGTCACACAGCCAGAAAGTGAAGGCAGTTCAGATGGCCACTTGGCCAACTCCTCATAGGTGTTGGCCTCTTGTCCCTCTGCGTTTGGGCACCCATATGGATCCACACCATCCGCTGGAGTAGAAATCCTCAGCTAATGTTCTAAGGTTCATGCTGAGTCAAATCCAAAATATATATACTCCATGGTCCCGTGGTACCCCCTCCTTCAACACCTCCAGTGTTGGGGCGGTGTGATCATCAGTGTTGGTAGCTGAGAAGGGGCCCTGCCTCCTCCAGCACCAGCCAGCCAGGCACCTGCCTCTGGGTCTCAACCTCTGTCTCTCTGTGCCTCCCTCCAGTGGCTTCTCCTCAGTGGTAGCTCTGGGAGCGAGCATCATCTGTAACAAGATCCCAGGCCTGGCTCCCAGACAGCGGGCGATCTGCCAGAGCCGGCCCGACGCCATCATCGTGATAGGAGAAGGATCACAAATGGGCCTGGACGAGTGTCAGTTTCAGTTCCGAAACGGCCGCTGGAACTGCTCCGCACTGGGGGAACGCACCGTCTTTGGGAAGGAGCTCAAAGTGGGTAGGTGCCCACCCATATGCCCAAAACAGGGTCTGCCAGGCTTAGGGGAGACCGGCATACCCTTAGGAACCATGGGGACCACTCCCCCTTCATGAATGTCCCTCAATGCAGGACCCTGCAGGTGCAAGGACTTGCAATTAGGCCTCCCCTTGGAGGCCAAGACTGATTTGAAGCCACATCACTTTGCTTAGGGGCAAAGTTACAAAGTAGCAACAACAGCCTAGATGCTCGCTGGTCGATTAGAGTGCTGTTTTAAACAGAAGCACACACTTTAAGATGAGTTGTTTCATCTAAAACTATAGATTTCTAGCTTCTCTGGAAAAATAGCAGATCTGTTGAGAGCTGACACATGCCCTCTTGCCTGCTGGCTGGTTAATAGGCTGGCGCTGAGATCTCGGCATCTGGTAGGTAGAGCCGAGGCAGCCTCTTCGAGGCTACAGTCCCCACCACTCCTTACTGCTGCCCAGCTGGGCTTGCACAATCCCATGACATGGTGCGCCTGACCCTGGGAGCTTCCGATTTTGCAACCCCTGTGTTTTCGGAATAGTATGTGCAGATGAGCAGGCGTGCATGCACACAAGCAGAGACAGACACAGAGAGGTGAACCACACATTCCACCTCTGAGAACCATCTGCTGGGAATGGAGCAGAGAAAGATGCTGGTCTCCAGGAGGCCCAGCTCAAAAATGCCGCTCACAGAAGGCCAAGCTTGGGGCCCAGCACCATGACAAGTTCACTTTCACCCCAGTTTCCCTGTGGGTCAGGTCAGCCTTCAGCCTGGGGGGTCAGCCTTCCAGTTCCACTGCTCCAAAGCCACCCTGGAGCCACTGGCAACATGTGGGGTAGTGGTGACTGAGAAGTCCCACCCCCAATCTAGCCACCTGCTCCAGCTCCCTGCTTCCTCCTCAGCTCACACTGCTTTCAACTCTGGGCTCACAGACTGCTCTGGGCTCTCTCATCCCATCTCCTTGAAGCCTCTGGCCATTCTGAAGACATTTCTGCTACTAGCAGGCAGCAGACCCTTTTTAAATGGAAATCAGGTCTTGCTGCCACCCTGCCTAAATCCTTTGGAGGCTCCCTCCCAGCAGAATGAAGCCCCAGCTGTTCCTCTGGCCGCTGCTGACCTCTGCCCCCATCTTGCCCATCGTCCCATCCCTTGCTCACTCACCCCCATCCTCTATCCCAGACAAACCACACAGGCTCCTGCTCTGGGCCTTGGCTCCTTTGTACCCATCATGGATCCAGGCCCTGTCCTTTGTATGTGTCGCTCCTTCCCAGCATCTCACGTATCATTTTCCTGAGTTCTTCCTTGTTTATCACCTGTCTACCTCCTCCTGCTTAAACCTCCCATTCCTGGAACGCAGGCCTGGGCTCTGGCATTATTTTACATGTCTTGGCTTTGCTGAAATGTGCAATGGTACAGATGAGGAAACTGAGGCTTGGAAGGGAATCGCTCAAATTTGGAAAAAGTGAGTAGCAAGTCTTCTGGGACTGGGTTCATTCAGGTTGGGAATGGGAGCTGCCAGTGCATGGGCCACAGGGGAACAGTGTTGGGCTGTAGTGCAGGGCAGTGAACCCAGGCCAGTGAAGCTGATCATAGTTGCAGAATGAGCCACAGGATCAGGCTGAGTAGAAGCCACCTACCCACCCAGTACACACCGGGGGTGAGCAGGAGCCTGTGGCCAGAGTAGGTAGAAGTGATTTCAGGAATTCAGGGCCTAAGAGGAGCCCAAGGAACCCCAGAAGTGTGCTTGGGTGACCTGGCAAGGTGTGGGTGATGGAGCCAGGTGGCATGTAAGCTCAGCAGAGGAAGGCTGAATTTGTAGGTGGCAGGAGCTGATGGAGGATTTTGAGTATGGGCATGACTGCCAAAGTACAGCTTGAGCTAATGAAATGGCACCTATTCATTGCTGATTGACCCACCCAAAGAGTCTGATAGGAAATCTGGACAATTAACTATAGGGTGGATACAAACTTTATTCATTCACCAATCTGCTACTGCATTTACCACTATGTCTGCGTGCCCACTGTGGCTGCAGGCCCTGTTCCAGCATGTGTGATCAGGGAAGGCCTCTGGGCTAAGGTGGGACAAAGCTGGGGTGAGACTGGAGGAGCAGCATGCAGGCAGAGGGAACAATGCTTGCAGAGGACTTGAGTTGAATGCAGTACACTGGGGCAGGAACAGGGGAGGTGCTGGGAGCCAGGAGCTGGCCTGTGGCATTGTCAGACTGGGGCAGCAGCACCTGGACTTCCCTTTGTTTGACAGGAGAACTGCCTGTCAGGGGCAGGGGGCTTGGGAGTGACAGGATCCAGCCTCAGATTGGCAACAATACTCTGGCTATTGGGAGATGACGGTGACATTGGGACCCCAGCAGTCCAAGGAGTCCCCATCCCTCAGATATTTGATTTTCTCACATGTGAGTGTCCCGTTCCAGGACAGGATGCTCAAATTGAGGGTTACCTGGCTTCCCATCTGTGCTTTCACCCGCCACCAACTGAAGTTGTCAGTTCTGGGAGAACTCAGCTAATTAGGGCTGCCTTACAGTGCAAGGATCAGGGCTGCAGTTATTGACTTTTGGAGCTGTTACTCTGCCCTTAAAGTTTGCCCAGAAACTCCATCCCACACATCCACACACATCGCATTGACCAGAACCCAGTCATATGGCCACACTTAGCTGCAAGAGAAGCTGGGAAATAGTCTTCAGAGCAGCCATGAGACCAGATAAGGCTTTGAGACTGAGGAGAAAAAGGAAAATGGATGTGGGGAGAGAAGCTAACCCCTGACACAGGTTTTCCATACTGTGAGACCTGAAGGCTCCTTCTCATCCCTACCTTCCCATCCACTCTGGTCCTCAGCTCTGTCTGTACCCTGCTTATGGCTTTGTCTCCCCTGCTGAATGTTCTAGGCTTTCCCATATAGATCTGAGCAGAAGATAATAGGAAGAGAGCTCGTGGATACAAGAAACAAACCGAGCTGAACCACCCCAGGTGGAAAGGACCATTTAGTATATCTAGGGAACCTGAAAGTCAGGGGCTGGTACTGCCTTCCACCAACCCCAGGACCACCTCTTAGGGCAGCAAGATGGCTGTTGCAGCCCCATCACCACAGCTTTCAGGTTCCAGTCCAGCAGTAGAGAGCCTTGGCCTTTCTCTGATAACACCTACAGAAGCCCTGCACTCAGTCTGCTTGGATCAGTTCACAGGCTTGATCATGTGCCTTTCCCTAATCAACCACAGGGTCCAAGGGCAGCTGACTTTTTTGGCCGGGCCTGGGAACCTCATCCAGACTAATTTTCATGGCAGAAGACTGTTCATTTGTATCCCACATTGCTCGGGCTGCCATGACAAAGCACCAAAACTGAGGCCTTAAACAATGGGCATTGATTCCCACTGTCCCAGAGCTGGAGGTCTGAGAACAAGGTGCAGGCAGGGATGGCTTGCACAGGGCTGTTTCTTCATTGTGTCCTCACATGGCCTTTCCTTTGCACGTTTGCTTCTGTTGTCTCTTTTTATCCTAGTGCCCTCTTTGTAAGGACACCCATTATATGGAATTAGTGCCACCTTAATGGTCAAATATTCTCTCTTGAATCTGGGCTTCCTATTCTCTTGCTGGTTTACCTTTAATTTGTCATCTGGTTATACCAACCCAAAAGTGAATCATTTCATTTCCATTGTATTCTACTGTGATCGTACAGGATTCCACAGCCACTGTCCCAGCATGCTGCTGCTGCTGTTGCTGCTACTGAGTGGCCTGCCCAAAGCAAAATGGGCTAGGTCTCTGCATCCCTGGTTAGCTACGTGAGTGGAACACATCAAGCAGAATCACACTGGCTGCTTAGATTGCATTTCTCTGAGAACCGAAGGAGTTGAAAGCTCTTCCTCAATCAAATGTCTATAAGCTCCTTGTTCCTGCCTTCTGCCCATTTCTCTATTGGCTCTGGTTTTCCGTCAGGTGTGGTTGTCCCTGATCATAGTGCAGGGAAGCTGGGTCAGGCAATGCATCCATGCATCGCTCAATCCTGCCATGTACCCATCCTTCAGTGAGACAGCCCTTTCTCATAGATCATCTCACACTGTCCGTTCACTCTTAAATAGAGTGGTGTCCACCTCCATTTCAGTCTTAAGTCACACAATGCCTTATGACACTGACAGGTGGCAGCAACATTATATGACATAGTATGTAAGGCCCTGACACCCAGCAGGTTGGGGCAATCAGAGGGTGCCCCTTTCCCTTCCAGGAGGCCTATGTGCCCATCTTGCATCAGCACCAGTGCAAGAAACTGGGACATGTAAGTTGATTCTTATTGCAGTAAAAACTGCTGGTCAGATTACTGGCTTGTTTGATAGACTCTAAAATGTATCCTCAGAGCTCTCCACTTCACACTACTTCCTGCCCTGACTCATCCTTGGCACTGTGTGGGAAACCTTCCCTTTTTGGTACTACGCAGGCTTCTGCCCAAGGGTCACCTCCTCCAGGAAGCCTTCCTTGACCACCTCACCTGAAAGAGCTCCTCCACAACTCATCCAGTGCTACTGTCTTTCCAATACTTGTCATTTTGGGAAATGATTTTGCTTATTTATGCAAGAATGAGTCCAACATTCATCCTCTTCCCCAGCCTGGGGCTACACAGAGACCTGACCCATCTACCAGTCATCTAGTCCCTGGCCCCCAGACCTGGCACAGGAAGGATACTTACTCATGGAGCACATGGAGAAACTCATGAGCCCTTTCTACCCTGTGCAACCACATTGCCCTGAGTCCTGGAGGACGGAGCTGGCCTTGTTTCTGAATGCCAGGACTGGGCGCCCCTCACACCCAGCATACGCTCTGTTTTCTGTCCCAAACATGAATGCTTTTGCTTCTGTCCCAAAACATAAGAGTGCTAAAACACTCACTCCCACACATTTCCACTAAGTGCTGTCCTAGCCTAGCATCCTCACATATCTGAGTCTTTCAATACTAATTGATCAACTGTTCCGCTAACTCTGTCTTCCACCTCC